GTGTGTGTGTGTGTGTGTGTGTGTGTGTGCGTGTGTGTGAGGGTGTGTGTGAGAGATAGAGAGAGAGAGTTTGTGTGTGAGAGAGGGAGAGAGAGAGTGTGTGTGTGTGTGTGTGTGTAGAGAGATAGAGAGAGAGAGTGTGTGTGTGAGAGAGGGAGAGAGAGGGTGTGTGTGTCTGTGTGTGAGAGAGTGTGTGAGAGAGAGTGTGTGTGTGTGTGTGAGAGAGAGAGAGAATGTGTGTGTGTGTGTGTGTGTGTGCGTGCAGCTCCAGATGTTGTTTCTGGAGGTTCTTCTGCATCTCATGTTTCAGTGGAAATGGGCAGGTTTTATAGAGTTTTTGTAGATACGAGCTCAAACTATCCTCAACTAGTTTGACAAAGTTAACAATTTAACCCTTATGAGTTACACATTTAAGTCTGTTTTGACCTTGAAGAGATGCATAAAAATTTCTAAATAATGCATAGTTTTTAGTAAGAGAACGAAACTTTGCAAATGCTTTAAGAGCCTCAAAATACACATAAATTGTTTTCCAGATTTTTTCCAGTTATTTTTTAAAGAGATATTAACCATTTAAAATGTTCGGGTCATTTTGACCCGGGTGTGTATGGAACACAATTAGTGTCAAAAATACTTTCTGTTAAATGATCTATGGAGTTATATTAGTGTCAAATATAATATAGTGATATTAGTGAAAAATATTTCTCCTTTTCTTCGTATCCCACACCTTTTGGAGGCAGAATTTTGTTGTTGAACATGAATATGTACGTCTATTGACATGAAAAACTGATTACTTTTTTTATCAGAAAGTGAAAGTTTATGCAATTAATTATTTTGTTTTAACCTTTCAAAGTAACATTCATGTTGTTTTGACCAATTCAAATAAATTTAATAAATTTCCATTCATTCCACTGGGGTTAATAATACTGGTAGTTGTATATGTTTATAAGTGAGAGAGTGAGTGTGTGTGTGTGTGTGTGTGTGTGTGTGCCCTGACAAATTCAGCTGAATCATTTGAATTCAAACTCCAAATTTATTTAAATATACCTAATTATGCATATTTATAATGTGCAATTGTACCACATTACAAACTTGTATTTTAATAAAGTATAATTAAAAGTATAATTAATATAGGTAAAATTTAAAAAATGTATCTGTTTATGTATAAATAATTAATATTTACATTTATACATAATTATTTATATTTCTAAATAATATTTTTGTGTAATTAATTCAAAAAATACAAAACATCTGAAAAATATAAATAAATAAAAATTATAAAAAATTATTATTATCCAGATTTCTATTGTGTTAATTATGGATAATTAAAAATATTTATAATAGATTACACGTTAGCAAAAAGTATTTTTAAATAAGTATAATTATCTGTTTAATTATGTCTGAGTCATTTACATTTATGCATTTGACATGCTTTTATTGAAAGCGAGGTGTACACTTTATCAGTGCATGCTTTCCCTGGGACTGGAACCCATGGTCAAGATCTGTGTATAGGGGACACTATGCAATGCAATTCAACATGCATTTCTCACATTTTCTGTGTTTCAGGTGTGTATAGATTGATGAAGCGATCGAGTCGAGTGTTTCGGCGGGCGATGCGGAGTGTGAACATACAGAGGACGTCTCTGTGAAGCCCATCCAGATGCAGCAGCTGCCCCAGAGCATCATGGGAGTCAGAGACCGAGCGTGTGTGATCCAGTTAGAGGCTGCATATGTGTGTGTGTGTGTGAGAGCGAGAGAGTGAGTGAGTGTGTGTGTGCGTTTTTGTGACAAATGAGGACATAAATTTGTATAATGACAAAGGTATGACAGGTATTACAAGGAGAAGGTGACTTTTCAGGACATTACCCCATGTCCCCACTTTTCAAAACGCTTATAAATCACACAGAATGGAGTGTATTGAAAATCTGAAATAGCAGAAAGTCTCCTGTGAGGGGTAGGTTTAGGGGTAGGGTTGGTGTAGGGCAATAGAATATACGGTCTGTACAGTATAAAAACCATTACGCCTATGGAGAGTCCCCATAAACCATAAAAACAAACGTGTGTGTGTGTGTGAGTGTGTGTGTGAGTGTGAGTCTGTGTCTTTGTCTGTGTGTGTGTGAGTGAGAGAGAGAGAAAGTGAGAGTGTGAGTGAGTGTGTGTGTGTGTGTGTGTGTGTGTGTGTGTGTGTGTGTGTGTGTGTGTGTGT